CGTTATTTTTTTTGTGGAGACTTCTGACAAATAACTTCCAGTCATTTCAAAGAGAAGTTGTTAGGATATTGTGAATGCAACAACATTAATGCTTCCACCATTTGGAGGGATTGTACTGTGTTGCGACTTTCAAAAAACATGCGTCTTCAGAACATTTCTGATTCGAACGAGCGTGACAAGGTAGCAACGTTTACTAATTGGATTGTTAGCATTGGAGACGGGCCTGTAGGAGGATCAAACGATGGTTGTACCTACATTAACATTCTAGACGTTACAAGACTGGAACCCTTCAATGATCCAATTGCTACAATCGTGAAAAGTATCTATCCAATGTTCAAGAATACAACTGACAATTCAAGATATTTGAATGATAGTGCTCTATTAGCGCTTACTTTGGAGGTCATTGAGTCTATCAATTAATACATATCGTAGATGAATTCTGATGAAGGTCATATGTATTTGAGCTCTGACATTATGTGGAAGTCCCACTCGAATAATAACTTTTTTTTTTGTTTTGAGTAAAATCTCCACACTTCCGAGTTTTTGAATAGCATCAAGCTTTCAGGAACATCGAACCATGAATTGCATTTGAAAATTGGAACTCCAATCATGTTATTAAGGAATGTGGACCATTATATGGACTGTGCAATGGAACACGCTTGATTGTTACCAAGTTTTCTACTCATGTGCTTGAATGTAAGATATTGACTAGAGATCATGAAGGTGAGAATGTGTTGATTCATCGAATGTTTATGATACCTTCCGATGTTAGGGTTCCGTTTACGTTCTAGCGTAGGCAGTTCCCCCTTATGATTTTGTATACCATGACCATAAACAAGAGTCAGAGTCGTATATTTTCTCATTTTGACATGCTCTTAAAAAAACGATATTTAGTTATGGCCAGTTATATACTGTTGTTTTGTGTGTAACTAATATGAAGGGGTTGAAAGTATTAGTTTGTGAGAACGATGAGTTGCCCGACAATCATACTAATAATGTTGTGTATAAAAAGGTTGTTAATAATAAATTTTCATGACAAATTTTTTTATGATAACTTGATAAATGCTATACGTATTATAACTTATTCCCCTATATATTAATCCAGAACGCGCTGAGCCTACGTGGCTGCTTCTGGTGCTTCGGAATCCTATGTGGCAAAATTACATGCTTTGTTGTTAGGCTAGGGTAAATTTTAATTTAATTCCAAACCAAAAATAATTAGGTTTGGATTACCATAAATATGTTGATTATTTATGGTCATGTTACATGTATTAATTGCATTTTAATATCATTCCTTATTATAACTATTGAATTGTATATATATTTTAAAAGTTAATAACTTTTGTATTTTTTATCAGTTTTACATATGTAATATATCAAATTAATCTTCTTTTGATGAGCTTCGATTTAACATTTATATTGTATGTATAAAAAAGATAATTTATATTTATCTTTATAACAATAATAAAATTATTTTTAATATTAATTAGAAAAATAAAATTATTTATCAACTAATAGATTTATATTTCAAGTAGTTATATGATATAAGTTATAAAAACAAATATAATATAACACATGTAAGTCATAAGTAACACATATCATTCTAAAATATATAGTAATATATTTTTTTTTGTAAAAAAGTAAACTAATTTTAATATAATTTTCTCATTAATTTTAAAATTTACGATGAATTTTTTAACAAGCACCCGTGTATTTACACGGGTGTTGAAGCCCCTTTGACGTCTCTTCCTCAACATCAAACAATTCTCCAAAAGGGTCGGGGGGTATGATCGCCGAATAGGATACTCACTTTTGGGCTTGACCTGGTCCTATCCAATATAGGCTGAAAGACGGCGGTTAGCGGTGACCATGGAATAAGTTTCTTGTAAATAAATTGCGAATACGGTCCAAGTAATAAAAGCCCAAGTTTCCTTTGGGTCCCAACCCCATACTAGTGGGAAATTTACATAAATAACTAACTCTTAAAAATTATTTACATAAAAACTCTGGTTTGGGAGAATTCCAAAATTGCCTCAATTCATATCAGACATTTTTTTATTAAAAAAGGTACCCAATTAAAAACTAAA